AAAAAAAAAAAAAAAAAAAAGCTGTTTTTAATAATCTAGGATAGAAATGTGAGAAATATACAAGAGATATGTCACCATAAATTCCAATAATTCCACTGAATTCAGGTGTGGATTTGGCCTCAAGCATGTCAATGCTTGTAATAATCTGGAAAACATATCCTTCCTATTTTGGGAGGAATCACAGAATTGTCAGTTGCAAGGCACCTATAGAGATCATCTAGTCCAACTCCCTTTCTAAAGCAGGATCACCTAGAGCACATTACTCAGGGCTGCATCCAGGTGGGTCTTGAATATCTCCAGAAAAGGGAACTCCACAACCTCCGTGTGCAGCCTGTTCCAGTGGTCTGTCATACTCATTGTAAAGAAGTTTTTCCTCATATTTAAATGGAATTTCCTGTTTTCCAGCTTGTGCCCATTGCCCCTTGTCCTGTCACTGAGAACTACTGAAAGGGGTCTGGCTCCAGGATGATGGAAGGAGAGCTGTTCCTTGAGTTTCCACAGTGAAAGAATGGGGAGAAAAAGAATGAAAATATTAATTTATCAGAGGCACTCTGACCTCTAAGATTCCTTTGTGTGAGGTGTATGTGGCCATTTGACCAATGTCTTTAACATTCCCCTTGGCACTCTTTGAAATTGTCTATTACAAAACAGATGGTGCAGTAGTTACTTTTTGAAGGGCTTGAAGAGCATGACCACATCTGGAACTAATCTTTAGCTCCCTAAACCAATACATCACCCAGTTTTGAGAGGGCCTTCCAATATAAATGCATTGCACAAGTACAGAGAATGAATACCCAGCTTTAAGGCAGAATGTAAGCAGTCTGAAGCTGTAATTCATAGGCACAAAACTCTTTATGTTCAACTGTCTCATTTATGGCAAGCTTTTTCTACAAGAATTTATTTCAATTTTCAGTGGGCAACAGCAGTAAGTAAAACATGCAGCTTCTTAAATGAGATTTTAAAAAACCAACACATAAATTTTCAGATTTTGAATAAAGGATTTTCCTTTAAGGTTGACAGCTACATTATTCCTAAAGAGATGACCTCTTTCATTTTCATACTGTCCTTTGCCCCAAAGGATAGCTAAATGTTGTATTAAAGCAGCGTACACACC